GGCTTTAAGGGTTTAGGGTTTGGGGCCCGCAGCCTCCAAGGGCACGCCAACAGTCCAAGGCCTTTAAAAAAGAATAGAACAGGGGCGTAGGCTTCCTTGAGAAGTTCCTTTCAGGGGTCTCTAAGGGGTAGCAAAAGTTGTCTCTTCTACAGACCTGCCCAAGAAATCCGGCCTTTCGATCAAGTCTTTTGGGTTTGGGGCCCACCGAAAAGTTTTGAAAACTGCTTGAAAGGCATAAACAAAAGGTACATTGCCCACATACAGCCCGAAGAAAGGAGTCTAGGGTTTGGGGGAAATCTAAACCATAAATCCTAAACCCGAAACCTTAAACGGTGTCCCAAATTCATTAATCAGGCCCGGGCGTGTAGAGCCAACACGCGGCTCCAATCAACAAGGATCCCTCGGAGGGAGCGGAATTAGATCAGGGTTTAGGGTTTAAAGTTTGGCGTTTTGAGTTTACTTCGGGTTTGAAGGCCCTTCTCGTTTGTCACGGGGCAGAACCAGAAGCAAAGTAGGAAACAGGGCAGTCGGCTTAGAACAGTAGACAACGCCCTGTACTCCAAGTCCCTTAACAGAAGCCCCTTCAATCTAGGACCTTCACCGAGCTCTCTCGTCTCTAGCGGGGATCTCTGAATAGGACAAGAACACGAAGACACAGAATAGCAAAAAGAAGGAGAACGGTCTTAGGAATGGTGGGATGGCTTTGAATCAGTTGATGAGGTTTGGAGGTTGGCCCTGCATCAGCATCTCGTGGCCAGAGATTCAGGGTATAGGGCTGCCAAGGTTTCTGTGCGACACCCACAAGAGAGGATTAGATCTTGTTAGAGCCAAGCACGAATCCGCACGACCATCACCCCCGTAAGCTGAAGAGATGCAAAGACCAGGCAAAGCACCCTTCGTGATGTGACCATGGTCTCTGCATCACAAACCCTAAACCCTAAACCTCTTCCCCGAAGCCCCCCAATGGCCCTCGCCAGCGCCCGCGGAAGACGCGCGTCCAAACTGAAAGAGAGCCCAAGTAAAGCCTTGACCCTTGACCCTCGGCCTGTAGGATATCATTATATAGTATAGCAATTTATTATATAGTATAGTATATTAAAGTATAGTATATTATAGTATAGTCTATGATAGTATACTATAATATATCATAATATATCATAGTATATTATCATATATTAAAGTATATTATAATATATTATAGTATATAAGACCCTAGAAACAAAAACAACCTCGGCTCCCGGCACCCACCCCCATGAGCACGGCCGAATTCCGAGCAGCCTCGTCTCTGCTCTGCACTCTTCTCTTGGCGGGTTTCGGGGATTAGGGTTTCGGGGATTGGGATTTAGGGTTTGGGGTTTGGGGTTTGGGGTTTAGGGTTTAGGGTTTAGGGGGTTTAGGGGTTTGGGATTTAGCGTTTACAAGGTTAGGGTTTAGGGTTTATAAGGTTTAGGGTTTATAAGGTTTAGGGTTAGGGTATATAAGGTTTAGGTTTCGGGGATTGGGATTTAGGGTTTGGGGTTTAGGGTTTAGGCTTTATAAGGTTTAGGGTTTAGGGGGCTTCGGGGATTGGGATGTAGGGTTTGGGGTTTAGGGTTAAGGGTTTATAAGGTTTAGGGTTTAGGGCTTATAAGGTTTAGGGTGTAGGGTTTAGGGTTTATAGGCTTCAGGGTTTAGGGCTTAGGTGGTTTAGGGTTTATAAGGTTTAGGGTTTAGGGTTTAGGGGGTTTAGGGTTTATAAGGTTTAGGGTTTAGGGTTTTTGGGCTTAGGGTTTAAAAGGTTTAGGGTTTATAAGGCTTCCACAAATGTGCCATGGGCGTTGAAAAAGTTACAATGGGCAGCGCATAGCTTCGGCGATTTGAGGGTAACTGAACTCAAGCTTTAGGTCAAACTCTGCCTTAAACCCAAATCTTGAAACCAGGAAATAAGCACTGAGCCCTACGAATGCCTGACCCTCGACCGTACTTGAGTCCAACCGCCATGTCTGAACCAAATCAACACGCCTCACATCACTGCAACGAGCCTTGCAAATAAACCCCTCCACACAACAATCATCCCGACAGGCAAGCGCATCTGCCTATCAAGACCTAGAAAACCCTGCCAATCCCTGAACCCTAAACCCTAAACCCTAAGCCCTAAACCCTTGAACCCTAAACCTAAACCACAAACCCCAAAACGGAGCCTTGCCATAGACTTTCTGATCAAGCTCGAGTTCCTGCTTAAACTCAGCCAACTTGGGCTTCTTTCAGCATCTAGGGTTTAGGTTTTTCTTGGGTCTGGGGTAGAGGGCCCTAAGCCCTAAACCCTAAACCCTAAACTCTTTAGGGCTTGAGGATTTCGGGCTCGGGCGACCTTGACGATTCTTTGGCAGAAAATGCTTTTGGGGCTTTGGGTCTCCCACTTCAGGCAGTCTGAGTAAGCCTTTACACTGCTGCCTTATATTCTTGGCTTCGGGCTTTAGGTTCAGGTTTTAGGGTTTAGGGTTTAGGGTTTAGGGTTTAGGGTTTAGGGTTTAGGGTTTAGGGGTTAGGGTTTCGGGTTAGAGGGCGTAAGGTCTGAAATCTGGGGTTCAAGACAGGAAGCAAAGATTGGGGTGTTCGTCACCTCCTGCATCCTGAACCATGTGTGTATATATATATATATGCCTTAATTAAAGGGTGGGGTTCATATATATATATATATATATGTATGTATATGTATGTATGTATGTATGTACATATATATATATATATATAGATAAAGCGGTGGGTTTAGGGGTTTAGGGTTTAGGGTATAGGAGTCTCCAGGTTGTGGGTTTCGGATCTACGTCTTAGCTGGGCTGTGGCTGTGCAGGCTCGGGGCCTCGCCTCCTGCTCTGAGGCCTGGTTTGGGGCCTTAGGGTTTGGGGCCTTAGGGTTTAGTGTTTAGGGTTTAGGGTTTAGGGTTTAGGGTTTAGGGTTTAGGGTCATCCTGCCCAGAAAACCCAAGACTCCTCCATGAAGGAATAGACCTTAAACAACAAGATGCATGAATAGTATGGCTTGAGGTATATATATTCCCTAGTTAATGGGGTATTGGGCTCTCTGGGTGGTCATCGACATCGTCGTCATCATCAGAATCATAACCATGACCATCTGGTGCGTTGGGTGCATCCTGAGCCTACGCAGCTGGCCTGCTACTTGAAGGTTCACGGGTAATTCAGGATAAGGGGGTTTCCGAAAATAGGTATAGTACCTTAAATAGTAGGATCCTTATTATAAGGACCCCAAAATAAGGTACCCCTTATTTTCTGAAACTCCCATAAGGTTGCAAATTGTAGTTCAAACGAACCGCAACCTCAACGAAGGCGCCTGCAATCCTGCCAAGGGCCTCGTGAATCTTCAAGCAGCTACATGGGAGTTTCCGAAAATTAGGGTATCCTATTTGGGGGTCCTTATAATAAGGATCCTACTATTTAGGGTACTATATTGGGGTCCCCTATTTTCTGAAACCCCACATTCCGTACAACTGCAGCTCGGAAACTCAGGCAACTAAGGTTTTGATGAGCCCTCTCGAAACCGGAAACCACAAGCCATGAAAATGCAGAAACAGGAATCCCCAAAGCCAGAACACTGAGCCCAACAACCCTCAAACCCTCAAAACCCCAAGCCCAAACAGCGGGTCCAAGGCCTAAGAACCTAAACCCTACAGTCCTGCAGCCCAAGAGCCTACAGCACCCAAGCCTGAACCCAAAACTCGAAAACCTGATCCTCAGGCCCTGAAGCACCAACCCTGCCCCTCCAAAGGCTTAGTGCTTTGATTTTCAGTTGGGGTCGACTCTTTTGGGTTTAGGGTTTAGGGCTTAAAGAGCTTCTAGAGCCCTTTCAAAATAAAGCGACAGAGCTGGCTCGCACCGTCTGGATGAAGTTACCCTCGCCCTTGATGTCGAAGCCGCCAGTGTCCATCTGGGCAACTCGAATGGTTCGACGGATCGGATTTGGTTTCAGGGTTTTTGGGGTTTTGGAGTTGGGTTCACTTTTTAGGGTCTGAAAAGGGCCTCTCCTCCACCCGGCCCGAAACCCAAAGCCCCGAAACCGGCCCTCAACCCTAAACCCTGTAACACCCCACATGCTAGAAATCAAGGAACATACCCTCAATCCTAATAGGACCCCTCTATGCGTTCAAGCCCCTAAATCCTAGAAATCAAGGAATCTACCTTGAATCCTAATCGGACTTCTCTATGAGTTCAAGCCCCTAAATGCTACAAATCAAGGACTATACCCTCAATCCTAATAGGACTCCTCTATGAGCTCAAGCATCATGTAGGAACCTGATTAAGAAACCCTGGCCCCATAACCCCAATACATTAGGATTTATATTAAGAACCCCAAATAAAGGCCCAGGGCTTCTTAACCCTAAACCCTAAACCCTAAACCCTAAACCCTAAACCCTAAACCCTAAACCCTAAACCCTAAACACTAAACCCTAATCAGGTTCCTACATTACTCCAAGATAACCCAAAATTTCGGAAGATCCGGGAGCTCCTAACCGGGGAGCCCGACGCCGCTGTAGCCGAAGGCCATGACCACAAAGGAGGGAGCAGTGACCTGATCCAGCAAATGGGTAGGGTTTAGGGCTTAGGGTTTAGGGTTTAGGGTTTAGGGTTTAGGGTGTAGGGTTTAGGGTAGTTCTCTAAATAAGGGTCGCTTTTCGGGTTCTGTTTGTAAGGGTGCCGTACTTTTTTTGGGGACCGAAACAGGGACCCTAATTTACTGACATGCCACTACAGGACTTATGGAGGATGTCAGCAGACCGGGCTGCCAAAGGTCTTTTTCTTGGTCGATTTGGGTGGGGTTTAGGGTTTAGGGTTCAGGGTTTCGGATTGGAGGGCCCTAATGTAGTACCCCAAATAGTAGGATTCTTATTATAAGGACCCCAAAAATAATAGGTACCCCTTATTTTCGGAAGCTCCCATTGGGGTGGGGTGCTTGGGTCAGAGCTTTGGGCTAAAGGCTGCGGAGCTCGGCCTCACGCTTCAGGAGATCAAGCTGAAGCTGAGCTTCGGGGTAGTATAGGGGCCTTACTTTGATGGGGGCTTTAGGGTTTAGGGTTTAGGGATTAGGGTTTAGGGTTTAGGGCCTTAATAAATAGACTAGGGTTTGGGGCCCATTACACTATAATTACTTCTAGTATCTTTTAATAAGCAGCCCCCTACAATAGTATCGGTACTTATGTAGGCCCCTACAGTACCCCGGAAGCCTCCTGCACGATGTGACCATCCACCTTACTGGGAACTGCAAGACTGCAGGGCACTGAGACCCTGAAGCCTAAACCTTCGGAGTGACAAAGCTTCGACCTTAGGGGTTTAGGGTTTAGGG